AAAAAGTGAAAAAGGAGATCAACCCTCGTTTGACTGCCTATAATGCGGGCCTAGGGCAAAAGGAGTGACTAAATATGAGCCTACGCCAAAAGACGTCATCCCTTTATTTTTTTTTAGTTAAATAAACTAATTAAATAAAATAGCTTATTATTAATAATCTTAAAATAATAATAAAAAAAAGTTTTATTACGCCTAGGTTCGTAAGGGTTGAGGCTCGGCATCGCCGTCTTACCACGTCTTTTAGAACCTTGGTAATAACACGTTCTACCGAACTCAATTTCAAAACCCTTGTTTACCATTTTCCATTTAACTAACGTAAAAATAGTCTTGTAGACTCTTAAGTTGCCAACTGTCATTAAACTTTTCCAAATGTTTTTCAATTGCTATTGAACTTTAAAAGCTTTCTTAAGTTGTCATTGAACTTACTAAAATGTTATTCCTACTCCGTCGCTTTCCGTTTTAAAATGTCAATGGACTCAATGAACTTACCAAAAATTATTACATCCGTCATTTCATCTAACATGTCATCTAGTAAATTAACTTTTAGAACGACGAGTGATGGAGTAGCAAATTGGATAACATTTTAATAAGTTGAGTGGCAATTGGAAAACATTTGAGAAAGTAAGAGTCGTAACTCGAATAGCATTTAAAGTTCAATTGTAATTGGGGAACAATTTGAGAAAGTTTAAGTGGCAATTGAGATATTTAATCCCTCTTAAGCTTGACCATCACTGTTAAAAAAATTATTTCAATTTTAGAGATATTTCCAATGCAGTCTTATATTACAATTTCTTATAAATTATATATTTTAACCCAATAAAGCTGAATGTACAGCATTGATTCACAGTTTTTTTCACAGCCCCCTCACATGGGGGTGGGACACCAATAAAGTTAAATGTACAGTTTTTGTTCACAATTTTTTTACAGCCCCCTCACATGGGAGTGGGGCCTCCCATGTGAGGTGACTGTGAAAAAAACTGTGAATCAAGGCTGTAACTCTAGCATGGTTCATTTTAACCACAGGGTGCACAAATGTAAAGCAAAGAACAAGATTAATTCAACAGTCAGCTGTACAATTGCTGGAGAAGAAAAGCCAAACATTTCCAAGCCATCAAGACTTCCAGGAGGCTGCAAAGGAGGAAGCTTCATTTTTTCTACCTTACGTTGCTTTGCGATCTCTTGATTTACTCTATAGCGAACCATTTCCCAGCATTTGACAGCCGAGACATGAACAAAGACTTCACTTGGACAATATTCCAAAGAAACCTAAAGGATTCCATTATTCGTGAAGTGTAGGACAACATGTATAAAAGCGATCTTGCACAAGAGATTTCTACTTAATCAAAAAGATTTGATTACCATAAATAAAGGTTCATCACGTCCAGCATCGAGAATTTCAGAGACATAGTTGGACATGTTTGAGGGATCTAAAACATCTATGTATCTAACTCGACTCCTGAATCCTGCATTCAAAAGAAAAGGAGCTCATTTCAATAGAAATCGTCACAGCTATAAGCTATATGGACATTCAGCACACGTCATACCTTTTGGGTAAATGGTCTGACTATCACACCATAACTTTCCAGCATTAATAACTCCGAAGTCAGGAGATTCCACATTGCAATTGATTCTCCTAACTACTTTTGCAATGCGAGGCCCCTTCGGGCGATCTATCCAAATTATTTTGACGGCCAGATGGGTTACATGGTCCACTCTGTACATTTTCCATTGGCCTTGGCTCAAGATCCAACTCCAACCTTTTGTGACCATCTTCTTTATTGGTTTCTTCACCATCATAACATTGTGGCTTCAAGCAACAATCTGCATTTTTCTTATTAAACTCAACATCCTCTTTTTTAATTTGACAGCTCTCTATATGTCTATTATCATTTGCACCAGTAAAATGACATCCGTGAATAGAATCATTCGGTGAACACAACCCTTGATAACTTCCACCGTCTACATGCTTTTCAACTTTTATACCCTCTGAACTAGAATATGCATTCATCCGTTCACACGATACAGATGCACTAATGGTAGTCATCAAGGATGGATGATCAATATCATTACCCTTACAGCCTTACTCGCCATATCACCAGAGCCAGCTGGCCTCTGTATATGTCCTGTATGCTTTCCAGAAGTACCTTTTCCAACTGAAGGTTTCGTGATGGAATCATCAACCTCATCATCACTCAGGCATATAATATCATTGTTTCCAGGAAATAATGTCTGCTTATCTTCAGCTCTCCCTGAACCTAAATTTTCAGTAGAGGACATGTTTACTTCCGAGAGCTGGGACATTGGTGTTTCATTTACCGGAGCTGACTGTAAAGAATCTTCTTTTTTGCCTGGAAAATTATGCTCTTCTCCCTCAACTTTGAGTGAAGACTTGAGAGATGTGGATGGTGCCTTCATCTTTTCAAAAGTCGATAACTCTCCAGAAGGTTTCTCCTTTTGCATAGAGATTGTCTTGGATATAACCTTCATCTCTTTCGGTGCAATTCTTTCTGCAGTACAAGACATCTTACCAGTAAGCCCAGGGACTCGCGATTTCACTTCGGATACATGAGAACTTAGGGCCAGACCAAGATCTAGCTTTGCCCAACGATATACTGCACTAAGCTTCACTTCCAATGCTTCAACCAATATATTTAATTCATTGATGTCGTAACGGAAGAGGAAAAACTTAGCACCCCGAGAACATGAACACAACTGTTTAGCATGGTTCAAGCATGCATGTTTATCAGGTGAACAATGGTGACAACCTGCAGCAGAAAGATGCAGATCAAAGAGGCATACGCTGCATTCCCTTTCACTATTAGCATCGAAAGAGCTCTCCATCTTCAAAGCCTGTGAGGAATTGCAAAGGCATTCTCTCTGCACCCGCTCCATTTCAACACGAGTCTACCCAGAATATGGTACGGAAACACAATATAACAAAAACTGACACATTAGGATAAACAATATTTTATTTCACATTATCAGAAACAGAGTTTCAGAAAATTGGTTCAGTAACATTGGTTATATATCATAAAGAAAGACTAACAATTTGAAAATTCTTAGGGAGATGACATGCCAAGCGCACAAGCGCACACGAAAAAGAAAGCCTCCAAAAGGAAATAGAATGAAGGAAATGAATCTCTTTTTCCATCTTTCATGCCCGTGCCAACCCCGCAAGTGTTTAAAATTTTTAATCCAAACAGCTTGACATCTCAATTTATGGTAGTGCTTATCAATACCTAAATCTGGTTTTCCCAGGACCAATTCTAGTCAAGATAACCTGATCCAGATCACGATGTACAGATTTTTTTGCATAAATCTTGATTAAATTTGATCCTTCAAAAAGATTCTATTCTCTGAAAGCAATATTACTGAACTTTTTTCTCATACAAGATGCCCAAATATATGCAGATATTTTAGGTGGGAAACAAAAATTCTCAACTAATTTTTTGAAATTTAAACCATGTTAATGTACAACTGGCCAAAAGTGAGATCTGTAAAAGAGCCTAAGAAATTTTTCAGATCAAATGTGGATATCGGAACAAGTACTTACCTTGAGTGCTTTTGATAAGATACCATCCTTTCCACAAGCATCTTTCCATCTTAAATTATTAGTAGTATACTTCCTCAGTAAATTGAGTTCCCAATTTGCATTAACTGCCTCCCTAGCTGCCCCAAGCAATAGTTTATCATGTGATATAGAAGTCTTTCTGCCCTGCTCATGATAGAGCTGAATAGCATTTTGCCCATGGGACAACCAGTCAACTGGAGCGACATTAACTGCTTCAGCACAATTAAAGCCACAGTTAAAGCCAGCATGATATGCTCGAGGAAAGGTAAGAACAAAATCTCCTGGATTCTGAACACATCGATAGACAGGCACTCCCTCGGATATTAAAATGGACGGGGAAAGTTGTGTGACCTGCACAGTAATTACAGATTGAAGATGATACAATACAGTAGAAGTACAAGTGGAAGAAGACATTTGCTTATGTTAATAGGTGAATACTGAACTTCCAATTCAACCGTGATTTCCTATGAAGTGTAAAAGTACCCTCAACAATCACACAACTCTAGAACGTCTTTCAGACAGTGTAGCTAAGATATTTTGAAGCTTCTGTGTCACCTTTACAAAATAATCTTCATTGAGGAGAATAAATGCATATATTAAAGCTCAATCAGTATATTTTATTCCGAGGACAAAAAAGAAATGGGAATAAAACTAAATTGCTGACCTTTGTCCAACATCAGAACGAAACATAAATTCGAGATTGCCCCTTAACAGTTGGACATTAAGAAAAGCAAATGACTTTAAACTTTGAGTATATACTTTGGTCCTATTCTTTTATCATAGAAACACAGCATAAATAGGCATAGCTAACATTACCCGTTATTTTTGTTTGTATCACAATTTTCCTCATGTTTTCTGAAGGAAGCAAAGATAAGAAAAGATTTACCTCCATCTCAATCCAGCGCCTCAGTAAAATATACCAAATGGAAATCGAAAAGGAACAATGATAAGACATAAACCAATGCTGATTACTGCTCCACTATGTCAAATCAATACTTGAAATTTAGGCTGAATGATTTTATTCACAGACAATTAACTGTATTTATAACAGTAAAATCCAACCTATGAAAGGAAATAAAAGACTATTCCTAACTAGACTAGCATATAAGGTAGAAGAAGATATTTCTATAATTTCGTATTTTAACTCTCCCCCTCAAGTTGGTTCATACCCAACTTGGATGGTTATGTGCAGAATAGCTCACCACATGATAACCGTTGCTCAACTGGATTGCAACTTCAAGTAGTAAAAATCTCTCCCTCCTCCCAGTTCGAGTCATCGTCTTGGTTAGATTGTTCTACATGAGAATATACTTGAGAAATATGAAAAGCAAAAGATGGAGAGGCATCAATGCTAGCAACACGAGCAAATTTCTTCTTCTTTTCAGCTTGTTTATTTTTGAACCACTCCGGATAACCACGTAATTTCCAGCAAACATCAACTGTGTGAAACGCTATGATAGTGGGTGCAGGGCCGTAGAAGGGCTGAAGTAGATGGCCATGAGTTATTCTTCTGGACAGCCAAAGCTTTGATACCAAATTGATATTTGGACTAAATGATTTTATCCATAGACAATTAACTCTATGTATAATAGTACAATCCAACCCATGAAAAGAAAGAAAAGACTGTTCCTAACTTAGAAGGAAAAGCATATAAAATCATACTATAAAAGGAATTATATTAATTTTTAACTAGACTAAGATATAAACTAGAGGAAAATATTTTTATAATCTCCTATTCTAACTAATATTATGCAGTACAATGATTAGTTTGATCATGTAAGGCGACTGCCCGGATGCAGTTTACCTAGAAAAAGATGTGGTAACATGTAGATAGGTTCTCTAAAAGAAACATAATCTTTTTAAGAAAATGAACTGGTGCTGCTGAATTTTACTAAACAATGAAAAATATTTGTTTTTTAAGTTCCTGACAAAGTAAAGAAATAGCATGAACATGTGTATATATTTCACGTTTTCATTCAATTTTTATAATGGACAAAAGTAGGCAATTAATCATTTTATACTCCACTAAACAGTGTGAGTGCACCAATTCTGCTGAAAATAACTTTTACATGCACCATGGATAAATCATAGCTTGTTGGAAAGATGAAGTAAACGATATCTGGAAAATGTGAAAACAAAGGGTAAGCCATGTTATAGTTTATTGTATAATTTGATCTAAAAACTTAAAACTGTTGCCACATGCAAGCAAACAAGCACGCATAAATGTATTATCTAGACATGATGTGTGTGAGTATGCATTTTGAGCTTAAAGATCTGTCTCATGCAAGACCTCTCCTCTCTTTTCCTTCCCCTTCCACTCTCTTTGAAATGTCGAACGAAAATATTGAGAAAAACAGAAGAAACTATAGCAACAGATTGAGGTATGAATGACCAAAACCAAAAATAATGCAAATAAATTTTAAATGGAATAAAGTAAATTTGGTCACAACTTTGGCCTTTACAATTTACCATGTTCAAACAGCAGTCAGGAATTCAGGATGGTAAACCGCATGGAAAAAAAAAATGCAAATTTACAAAGTTCATCCCCCATTTTTAGTGCGCATTCATAATGCACTTGCAGGTTTCTATATCATGAAGAAATAGGAACATGGTAAAGGACCCAACCACTTCAGAGTTTGCAAAAGAAGTTTGTACAAATCATAGCTTGAATTGAAAGTTGCATTTTTGTATAAAGAAAGAAATATACTTACCAGCTTATGAAGCAGGTCCGGCTGCCCTTCAAAAAGGTCGGGCAAATGTTTCCTCATGGCTGCTTCCAGTTTAAGGGCATCAGATCCTGGAACGCCATACCAAATCTTCGGAGCTCCCCAATGCATGTAGTTTAATGAGTACAAGTGGTGGTCCTCGACATGCTGCTAACAAATAGAAGAATGTAAGAAATGTCATGGATAAAATTACAAGCACCGAATAATTAAAGTCATCGTCTATCAATCGATATTTAACGAGTTGCTCTGGCTTGATCTGGTCAACACGTCATTTTTATCCTTTTATTTGAAAATAATAGATAAATTTATAATTAACCTATAATTGATAGCTTTACAATTTACACCGTTAAATTATTTGAAAAATATAAAAATAATAAATCACAAGTATTGACTGTTTTTAATAAACTGAACCGAATGGCTAGTCCTCATGAATCATTGAGCTAAAAAATAAAATTAGCACGCGTCAACATATTTGGCGGACCACGCCACGAATCGATACAGAGTGGACTAATATAGTTGTTTTTCAATTTTTTAGTAGTCGGATCACCTCGTTTGGACTGCTCCTCAATCTCGACGATGCTAAGTGAACCTAGCTCTTTTCCTCTATCGTCTTAGATTATTTTACGTTTGACATGTTTATGTGTTTAAAACTTAACTCATACGTACTTTTCACAAGTTTCTAGATGTTTTTCATGACGTATTTTTACTTTTTTTTTTTAATATACAAAAACACGTTGCTATTTTCTAATCAACTAATATATATATACAGAAATGCTATAAAACAAAGAGGTAACAAGGGTAGAAGAAACTAGAGATAGTCAAAATTCTCGAGAAATTCATCACGTTAAGAGTTAATATCCTATCGTGTTCTTTTACTTTTAGAGCCTTGAATCGGATCTACACAACCTAGTATTGTAATTATATTTATTTTGATTACTTTATTTTCTAATAGCTATGATAAATTCAACTAAACAACTAACATACTACGGATAGCGGTGGCAAAAAAGTTCGGAGGCTCGGACGGCTCCACCGAGCCCCACTTTGGGGAGTCGGCTCGAGCCCGGGCCGGCCCGTGGCCCGAGCGAGCCAATATAAAAAAATAATAATAATAATAATTTTTTAAGGCAACTTGCTCTTGCTGCCTGGCAGCTGCAGCTGCCTGCAGACATCACAGGCAGCAAGGCAGCCTTGCTGCCTGTAGGCAGCTCAAGCTGCCGCAACAGAATTTATCCCACCGATCTCAGATTAAAAATGGAATTCGAATTCCGGGGCTTGTTTAATTTATAATGAATTTATCTCCTTGACAAAATTTATAATTAACCTATAGTTGAAAATATAAAAAATACCGTTGATACCTTTACAATTTACACCGTTAAATTATTTGAAAAATATAAAAATAATAATTCACAAGTATTGATTGTTTTTAATAAACCGAACCGAATGACTAGTCCTCATGAGGCATCGAGCTAAAAAATCAAATTAGCATGTGTCAACATAATTGGCGGACCACGCCACGAATCGATACAAAGTGGACTAATATAGTTGTTTTCCAATTTTTTAGTAGTCGGATCACCTCGTTTGGACTGCTCCTCAATCTTGATGATGCCAAGTGAACCTAGCTCTTTTCCTCTACCATCTTAGATTGTTTTACAACGTTTGACATGTTTAGATGTGTTTTCATGTAGAATATTTTATGTGTAAACATGTGGTTGAAAATGAATACGTAGAACAAAAAAAAGAGCTTTCAAATAATGGTTATAAAAAAGGGCTACATACTCTTTTAAAGTAAGTAAAAGAATAATCTAAATTTCTAGATAATAATTTACTTTTACATTAATTATTAGTTAAAGATCAATTTTTTGAGCTTGGTCAAACGTGGACTAAATTATCTAGTTTCAAATATCACTTCAGCATGCAGCTTAACCTCATAATGATAATGAAGTACACAAGCTGAAGTCAACATAAAACTCTCAAAGTTAGGTACAAAATCTATTGCACAATAGATACACACACAAAATCACTTGCATTGCACCAAAATCGCACATGATGTATTTGTAATGGCATATTTAATAGCACCAAAATTGCTCGTGACGCATTTCTAGTGTGTTTAATAGCACCAATTTTGCACGTGAATCGCACGAGATATAGTTGTAATTGTGTATTTAATGGCACGTGATGTATTTATATGTATTCAATAGAGTGAAAGTATTTTGTAGATAAATAATTTTAATAGAATTAATCTCTTGTTCTCAGTTAGCAGATAAAAACTTTTCACTATTGAACCATAACTAAGGTTCTCTTGCTATATTAATAATGAGGAGTTTTTATCTTGTCCGTTGAGGGCAGGGGATCAACGCTGACAATCTTAAGCGCTCGTCAGGGAGTTGTTTTATCAAGATTTTAAGCCAGTTTTTGATTGTTGGAAAGGTCACTAGGTCCCATTTGTGCATTAACGATTGGCTAAACTTGAATCAAGTTACTAGAGATGCTTTTTTCAAAGAAGAATAAAATTTTACGTTAAAGAGGCACATTGGTAAGTTTAAGCCATTTAGTCACTAATTGCAGCTCTATAAACTGTCAAACATTGCATAACAGCATGAATTTGACTAAAAGTTTGATATAAGACATTTGACAAAAAAGGAAATTCGTTGCCCAAATAGGCAGATAATTAGAAACGTGTCATGTTTCTCTCACGTATAGTTCGAACTAGTTTTTATATAAGAATAATGCTACTTATCTCCATTGAATTTATAATTTTAATATCCGTGGCGTTAATATGATATTAAATTTGAAGTAAAATTGAGTATTCATTTCGGCAATCACCTAATCCACGTATACAGGTCAGAATATCATTCTTTACGTGATGAATAGACTACCTGCCTTTTTCTCTCATACGCACACCCCCCATCCGCTCGTTCACAGATACACTTTTCTGCTTCCAAGGGTTTTGATCTCTCTGTGAATTTTATCCCACCGATCTCAGATTAAAAACGGAATTCGAATTCCGGGGTTTGTTTAATTTATAATGAATTTATCTCCTTTCTCTACCCTCATCTCTGCTTGTTCAATTCGAAATCTTTGAAGATCTGTGTTAACGAAAATTAAAACTCGAAATTGGAGGTATCCGTTGGAGTCGGGCCAATTTAAGGTTCTGTTTGATGATTAGAGAAGCGCAAACATTTGTGAATTTGACTGGTTAATTTTAAGGGGTTGAGAGAGATGGATATGGATTTCAATGGTGACGTGGCGAGTCTCGATGCTGAAATGCTGCAGCTGCCGGATGTGTCTCCCTTGGCTATTAAAGCTAACCCTCATGTGGCCGAGAAGCTTTTTGATCAATGGCTTTCGCTCCCCGATACTGTATCTCTGGTAATTTTATTTGGCTATTAATTGCCTATGAATGATTGATACTATTGTTATTACACACATTCTATGAAGCTGTTTGTTTAAGTGGAGTTTCTTGTCTGGTTTGCCTGTTTAATCCATGTGTTGCTTGTAAATTGGTTTTGTAGATGAAGTAAATAATGAAAAAGGACTAAACATGGATTTAAATGATTTGTGATTTTAACCCACAGTGTTGTTTGGACACAGTGGTCAATTCTGCAGAAGTTGCGAAACTGAAACAAAACCAAGTATTGGTACTTATTCTGAATTTTGTTTAACAGAAAGGTGTTCTTTTCCTTTTTGCATTATAAAGAAATTACTTTTTTGGAGAAAAAATATGGTTAGTAGATTTTGAGAAGATTCATGAGGAAAGATATAGCATACAAGCGGAGTACAAAACATTGCAGGATATACTAAGATGACAAATGTAGGTCTGTAATTTATTATGTCAAGTGACTTGTTGAGCAATAATGGCAAAATGTAACAATTTTGTCCCGACCAAGATTCGAGTTACGGAATTTAAGGAGTTGCCAATTAAAGCAAATTCTTACATGTGGTTCCACTTAAACAATTTTTCTCTCTTCACAACTACTTCTCACTCATAGAGCTTGATTCTTTGAGGCCTGCATGGAGTACTTGCTACCTGGAATAAGAAATTTTTTAAAGTTATTTCTTGATTGGAATGAGATTATAGTATTGACTGAATACTGGTTCCGCTTATCGGCCTTTAACTAAGCCTTAAATAGACCGTTAAGGTATTATTGTATGTATAGTTTTGTTAGTAAATACAGGGATTATAGTGAGCACAACTTAATGAAACTTGATACACGTAAAGCTTGGAGAACCTAAAGATGAGACTTTGAAGGCTTGGAACTTGGAAAAACTAATTTCGTAATCATTATTCCTATCTTCTAAAGAAGTAGACCACAATGCAAGGCAAACATGTATTTCTGTACCTCACCACGGAACATGATGCAATGTGCTAATTTATTACACGAGAAAGAATCTAAACTGATGGAGTAATGTGTCTTCACTAATCTAAATAGAGTACACGTAGCACTAAAGGTTGGGGTTTTATTGGGATGGGCTTCAGATTCCTGGAGCCTGCTCTATTGTTTTAATGAAAGTTTATTTTTTGTTAAATTTACACGTTTTAAGTGCTAAACATATTGTAATTTACTGTTGGCACGTCCTTTTGTCACATCTGTAATTTTTTTTTTTTTGATGTAGCCAATTTTGACTCCAGTATTTGAGAGTTTTCCTTTTCTCTATGAATACCTGCACTAGAATGTGCAGTTTTCCTCTTGATAATTTATTTGTATAGAAATGGTCTTCTTTAAAGGCACCAAAATATGAAGTTGAAGTTGACCTCAATAGGAACCTAAACTCACCTAATTATTGAACTCAACAGAACCTCTATTCTGATAAATATTGTCCAGGAGAAATAAAAATGGTTTTATTCTGAGATCATAAGATTTCTGATATCTCTATGCTCAAAGCTGATTTTCAACGTATTTGAGAATATTTGAAAAGGATAAAAGATAACTATGTTATTATCCCAAAAATTATTAGATTAAACCATGTTGAGATGGTTTCTTGACATTTGAATTAATGCACTTCTATTCCAAAGATATCGTGACCTCGGTAGATCTCCTCTCGCCTTAGTATATAGTTACCACAAATAATTATCTGACTTAAGTACTGTATTATTGGGCTCAGATAGGTGGGAGTCTGGGAGAAATACATTCTTCTAAACATGTGCTACAGGCATATAGGAATAAGCAAGATACAAGATTTTAATCTATTCCATGAAAAAAAAAAAGGAAGTTGATTCCACCCCCGGATGCACCTTTGGGTGGGGGTGGGGGGGGGGTATGTATGACCCCTCAATGGGCCATCTATTGGTCCTTACAAGATGGTGTAATTCCCTGTGTTCCCATGGTGCACAAGAGGTGTACTAGGCTTGTTTTCGAAATTTTTGTTATCTGTAGCTCCAGCTCCCAAAATCCATTGGATGGTGGCCAACATTACCCGTTCGACATTAAGAAGAGCAAAACCAGAAGTATCAGAGCTCTTGGGTTACCCTAAAATGGAGGAGCATGTGATTATCCTCCCTAATTTCAGTATTCAAAATGCACTGAGGTATACATCTTCTATGGTTTCTTCTGGAATCATGGGTTAGAATGTTTTCAAGGCAATTCAGATTCCAGTTCCGTTGGCAATTCTGTAGGATGGTGATTCCTTCACTGGAGACCTCATTCCCCATTGCCATCTAGCACCTTCCATTTGACTTCTAAGTTTTGATGCTATTTCCCCTTTTTTTTTGTGTTCATTTGTTTAATTGCTAATTTTTCGCCTTTTGTACTAAGGATTTAAATTTCACATAGCTAGTATTCAGGTATACGGTACTTACCTGTCCTTTGGTATTATGATTGTAATGTTCCCACCTCAATCATTCAGTGATTTAAGAGACCCTTAGATATCTGTTGGGGGTGTCGTATTTTTTGGCCATACTTTCTGTTTGCAAATTCGTTTGCTTTATTCTGCAAACTTAGGATGGGCTCCTAAACCTCAGCAATTTAAATAATGCTTCCATGCCACATATCGTACCAAAATTTGATCCATTTAATTCTTTGATGGATTTCTTATTACCTTGTTATTATCAAGCCTGGAAGTGAATATCTAGAATGCTATTACTTTGATGCTTTTCTATAGGTAAAGTAAATTGTATTCCTGAGGCACAATGCAAGTGCAATTTTGTATAATATAATCTAATCATATCAGCCTTTTATACAATAAGGCCTACAAGAAAAATAAAGAAGGGTAAACTTTTAAGATTCTCATTGGAGTTTCAGTTAGATAATTTATTAAACAGCATCTCACAGTATTTGGTCAATTATTGAGATTTATTTTTGGGCCAGTGGCTAAGCGGTCAAAGATTCATTGTTAACGCCTGTTTATGCAAGTAAATTATATGTAAAGGGTGGTAAAGGTAGTAAGACCTAAAACTTTTGCACAAACATTGTACTTACTACTAATCGACCATTCAACTTACAGACCTTCTGTGCATCATAATGCAATGCTTCCTTCAAAATCAAAACTGAAGGAGTAAACAAATAAATCTTTCAAATTAATAATAACTAAGGCTCTATTCCCTTTATTCAAATGCAATTTGCCCTTCTATTTCCTTCTTCCTTCCTTTATACTTGATAGCATACCTAGAGCCCATCAAATTTCAAATGAGCGAAATCGTTGAGAATTATAAATGCTAGAAGGAGTGGAAGGTTGCATGGAGTTGCAGAATGAGAAGCTTAATTTCTCATAATATGGTTATCTCACTAAATTGTATTGGGTGAATTATAGAGTTTGAAGGACTTGCTGGCCAAATAGTATCGTTCTTCTTGTATCTTTGAAGATTTTACTTCTTTTCTATTTCTTCCCTCCCTTTCCTTTTAACATACCAATCAAGCCTATAAAAGAGAGCTCAACATCAACTAACCATGCAGCTTAAGGTGACATGTACAAACATCCTATTTGATAATAATAGCAGTAGATTGTATGGTGAGGCTCAAAATCACAATTCTGTGATAAAGATACGTTGAAGATTTAAAACCTTAGCTTCTAAATATCTAAAGATACTCCATGTGAATATCTTCATTTTGCGTTCATGATGGCTATATAGGGGCTGCTTTTAATGTGTTTGATGCCGATACGATGATTATGATTTCTTCAAATAGGTTGCTGGTTTGGTAAATGCCTTTTGACGAGTTTGAGAAATGTTTACGCAACGTATTGTAGATGCAATTCGTATTAGGCTCTAAAGTAATATGCAACTTATACATTTTCTTCTAAATTTTGCAATATTGACATGTGATGATACTGAAAAGGCGCAGGTGGCATCTTTGATGTCTTGCATTGATTCTATTGCAATTATTGACATCAATATGAAAGTCTTTAAATTAATGTGCCTTTCGTCTCAATATGTTGAAAAGAAATTTATCTTCAATATTATTGACATTTGCAAGTAGAAGGAAATTACCGCAATTCACTAGTTGTTTCTTGTGATATTGAACCCGTCCTTTAACAGCTATCTAACTGTGAACTACAGGTAAAATCTTTGCTCGGTAATGCTAAGGCAGGTGGCCCCTTGAATGTCTCTGGGACATCATCTGGTACAAATGCTGTGGCAAGCAACACATTGCCATCAATGTTTACCGCTGTAAGTACACCTCCACTTTCACCAAGAAGCTCAGCGGGTTCACCCCGGGTAATGAAACAGAGAACAGGCCCATCTGCTTTAGGATCTCCCCTGAAATTAGTGAACGAGCCTGTGAAAGAGCTTATACCTCAGGTTAGACCATTTTTCTGTATAATCTCTAATAGATTTCTATATTTATTATGGCTGTGGACTGTGGTTCTGAGTTTGCTGTTTTTGTTTGCTAATGCTATAATAATTGCAGTTCTATTTTCAAAATGGTTGTCCTCCGCCAAGTGAATTGAAAGAACGGTGCTTGTTTAGAATCAATCAGTTTTTTTATGGTCACGTGGACGGACTCCAAATGAATGGTGAGATTTACAACATATTCATACATTAAGGATTCTTTACTTATTATAGACCATGCTCATGCATGCACGTGCAACATTTAAGTTCTGAGAATGTCGAGGTCATTTGTTATGTTATCTATTCGTGCTCGTGATAGACCTGAAACTCACAATATAAACTATCTCAATTTGTTAATTGAACTTATTTTCCATGGGATAATCAGAATTTAAACCAGTTACTAAGGAAATTTGCAAGCTTCCGTCGTTCTTCTCCACTGTGCTTTTTAGAAAGATTGACTCTGATGACACTGGAGTTGTGACAAGGTATGTGCTATTCTCCTCATATCATTGAGTTTTCTTATCGAAATATATGCCATTGTGATTTTTGTCTTATTTCTCTCCCAAATGCACTAAAATGAGGAAAGATCAACTTTACACAGGTAATTAAACAAGAAAAATATGTTTATTACAGCAGGCTCAACTTCTTTAAATATGAAAATGTTGGAATGTGTGCTGTTTATCTATAGACTGTTTGGCAAAGATTCTTCAAAGCTCATTTTTTCCCAAATCATAAACAATACATTCTTTCAAAAAAAAAATTTGCATGTGGACCCATAAGTTTCTAATACTTTCTAACATATTCTCTAAAAAAATCACTTTTCACAAAATGTATTCTCAAAAATGTATATCAAACAGGCTCTTAATCTCATAGTTGTATTTAAGCGAAGTCAGAATCAGGAACAAGATTGCGCCCCTGATGGTCTTGTAAAACTATTAATATTTAGTATTTTTTAGCATAACACTTGGTCATCCTTCTTTGAACTACTAATGCTTCGCAAGCATGACTTGTTTAATAATGTGCTCTGAAATGGTAGGTTTTAGAACACATTTATCCTGTAAAAGTTTGAGCAAGTGCATGTATTATTGATATATTGCTGCTGTGAGTTGATCTTGCTTCTCTGTGCTTGCTTCTGTTTTCTCGAAATCTCTTTTAATTGTGCATGCATTGTATTAAATTAATCTTTGATTTACTGGTAGAGTAGGCCACCTTTTTGTATTAGTACAAAATCCTGTTATCTTGTAAATTATTAGATTTTGCATGTGCTGGAGCCTAGGTCATCATTATGAGGTGGTTTATGTACTTGAAGTTGAAAGAGAATGCTATCTTAGATGTGCGAGTTATAGAATTTTATTCTTTGTCTAGAACTCTCTTATTAAACAGTTCAACATAGGCACTGAGAGTGGGGAATTTGAGGCCTGTATGGGGATGATAATGGAAAAGAGAGAAGGCAAGGAAACAACCAGAAGGGCTTCTCATAACTTAATGTAAAGTTCTTAGAGAAAAGTGAAGAAGTCTTTTAGGAATTTATTGACCACAAAATAGAAAGCTCAAGGGTTCTTATGATACCTATTTTTTCCTGTTTATTTATTTCATTAGAGCTTGGACTCTTGGATAATTGAGGAAGGTTTAGGGAACATTCATCTGTTCAATGATATTTGCTTAGTCTTGTAGGAGAAATTGATTTTTGCTGGAAGTGAGTCCGTTCTTAATCTATTGGCAATTTGATGTTATCTTTCTTTGCAACTTGGATCCAGAAAAATGAAGTTACCATGGATTTGAATGTAATGTTACATAAGGTATGTTAAAATTGCGATAATAATCTGAGTAATAGGGAAAGAAGGTTGGAAACAGATTTCTAGCAATTAAAAGGCTTAAAAGCATAAAAATACTGTAAGTAGTCTCAATTCTAATGCCAAGGCCCACACCACAGTCAAAATTATGAGAGATAATTTTCAAAAACAGGATTACTCAAGTACTTGTTGGGTTCTAACTGCACCTCTGACCTATAAGTCAATACTTGACCATGATGAGGCAAAAGTCAATAGTCATATATATTATTGAAATTTCTGAAGCTGCAAAAACTAGCAGCTAAGTAGAGAATCACATGATCGAGTAGATTAAATCTAATAGTTAAACAAATACTATATCTAATAGACAACTTAGCAGTGTTTGAGGAAGCTAAAATCTGACTTTTACTGTATCAGTTTCAATTGGAACTGATGATTTCTACTTACAACCTTATTAATGCTTTTGACTAATATTGGTTATGTTAGATTAATGTACTCTTACTTTGTCTATATCAACGCATACAGGGATGCATTTGTCAATTATTGGATTAATGGCAACATGTTGACTAAAGATATACCAATGCAGATATACACAATCTTGAAGCAGCCAGATCTCAAATTCTTGAGTCAGGTTATAAGACAAGCAAAATGCTCTGTCATGCACCTTCTAGTTTAATGATTTTTATTTTATCCCTCTTCTTATTTTTGCAATACTCATCAACTTGATATTAGGACGACTTCAAACCTGTGCTTCGAGAACTTTTAGCAACTCATCCGGGGTTGGAGTTCTTACAGAATACACCTGAATTTCAAGAACGATATGGTATATTCTATTTTATTTACTCGACTTTGCTTGCAATGTTTATCCTTGTATTTTGTTTGCTTTGCTAAATGTTTATATTATGTTGCTGATTTTTCGTTGTTATTTGCCAGTATTGCAAAAGCAAGTATTGGACAATGTATATTTTGAGACATATACGTAGAATACAACCACATGTATAGAGTATATAAGACTCCCATTAGGCTGGGAGATGTCAAACTTATGAGAAATCTCAACTTTTTAACTCCATTATTATCCCAACAATATCGTTATGTTGAAGGGTATCAAAACTCAGTTCCATAAAGCACATATGTTCTAATGACTATTCTTTAGACTTTACCTTTTCACTTTATAGTTATGTTTAAATCACATATAATCTTAGCACATTCCATTTCCACCTATTCTACTCCTATACTTGTGAGTATGTTTGGCTAAGCTTAGAAAGTTTCTTACAACTAATAAAATAAGTTTTAAAATAAATGATACTTTCAAATTAGTAAATTTTTACCTCTTTTAAGAAAAAGTAAGTTATCTAAACATGTTTGGAAACAAAATGTAACTTAAAAGTAACTATTACTTATATTTAAGCCTACCCAACATGCCAAGTCATTGTTATTTATATATTTAAGCCTATCCAACATGCCAAGTCATTATTATTTATATAACCCAACTTGAATTCTAGTTACTCATTAAGGAAACACAATCCTCTTAGCAACTCAAATGCCCTAACTTACTAGTTATCCCCCTTAGTTTCATCATCTGGTGGTTGGGTTTGAAACCTTCAAGGAACGCATAGTAAAATTTTTTTTGTCAACTTCCTTCCCACAAATATATAAAATTCATACAATTCTAAATAACTTGCATGTTTGTGTCTGCATCTGACTGCTGGATTTAGAAAACCTCTCGATTTGACGAGGTTACAGGTGTGCTTTTGGTAATATTGGCTTCATCCTCCTATGTTTGCCTTTTCGATTGATTCCTACAGATCGGAACAAAAACAATTCTTTTATGAGGCGAGGGATGAATTGAAAAATGAATAATGCATGGGCATAGGTCGACTGTCTTGCATTTGTTTAACAGTTAGCTTTTTTTCCCCATTTATCCTTCATTGTAGACAAGTCTATATATTATATAAAATCGTATAATGGAATTAGACATATTTAATGATATGAGATGCAAACTAGGAATCATCTTGAATTACAGAAGGGTTAAATTCTTAGATGTCAATATGGCATCAACTGTTCGAACAAGAATTTTTGGTAAGCAAAGAGTTCCAACATTCTCAACCAAGAAGAACTGAATTCTCTTTCGGATAGACCATGAAAAGAAGGAATCCTGGAATTCACACCAGTGGACTTGAAAAACACGACGTGATCAATTTGATCAGACACTTGCCTCGCCATTTATTTTCATTGTTCAAGTCTTTAACAACCCAAAAAAATTACTGTTCATCTCTTTGCAAGGGTCAATCTCTTGTTTGTCAAAAATTAAAATTTCATCAAAATATGAGACACCGTGTGGCATTTTGGATACAATCCAAGTGTAGGATTGTGTTCATCAGTGTAAGAAATTCAGAAAATAATACAAAAAATTAGGATACTCGACTTGGCATGTTGGACACGTGAAGGAAGTTCGAGATGGTGTTAGATATGCATTTTTTTATCTACCTTTACCGTTTCTTATAACGTTAATTGGTTCTTTGGGTAGCATGCAAGGATTATTCATAGTAATAGCTTTGACCAAATCACTTGCGCCGCCTATAGCCTGTATGATTGACTTCACGCACAAGTTAGAATTCCGGGCATTTTTAGAGTGGGTGATCAATGTTATAAAAAGTACCTGTTTTCACATCTTTCTTAACCATTTTAAATGTTAAAAAGATTTTATTGTCAGGTTCCTCATGTTATAATTTTATGCCGTTGTTTTGTGTGCATTAGTTTTAAAGCAAGTTATATGTTGGATGATCTTCAGCATAGAATTTTACTGACCTTCTGGCAGCTTATTTATTATTTCCTTGTGGTTTCTTTCATACTGCTCTTGTATGATCATGTTGCTTGGCCTAGACAGGAGGCACATGTTGAGTTGGTTGATTGTCAGCATGAATGTTTTTCTGACTTCGTTTGCCCATTACTGTTTGAGTTTAATACCAATATTTGGCGAGTTAAGAGTCCTTACATTCCTTTGTTGAATTTTAACAGTTACAATTTATTGTGTTGGCCAGCTGAAACTGTGATATACAGAATATTTTACTATGTGAATAGATCGGGCAATGGCCGCCTTACCCTCAGGGAGTTAAGACGTTCAAACTTAATATCTGCAATGCAACATGCTGATGAAGAAGAGGATATCAACAAAGTCTTGCGGTAAATAGAGCAGCTCATTACTGTTCTTGAGGAAATGCTTGTTTATTTTCATAAGGGCTAATAAATTATACCATAGCTTGGCAAAGTTCCTACAGGGTGATAAGACTGTTATTAGAATGTCATAGGATGGGTTTTTAGAAAGTGGAAACAGTCTTGTTTGGTTAGTTAACCAATAGAATTAAATTTCATGTCTTACTCAAGATAAAAAATTCGGCATAATAACCTTAAGCCAGGTTTTGATTGACCAAATAAATGGACAACCGAGATATGTTAATTTATCTTATCTTGGAGTGTTACATTTCTGTGCTGCATTCTTATGATATCATATTTCATATTAACATAGAGATCCATATTGATCCCCGTCATCTTCTGATTCCATTTTCCCTTTTGTTGCAGGTACTTCTCTTATGAACATTTTTATGTGATATATTGTAAGTTTTGGGAGCTGGATACAGATCATGATTTTCTAATCGATAAAGAGAACCTCATTAGATATGGTAATCATGCACTCACCTACAGGATTGTTGATAGAATATTCTCTCAGGTTTGTCTTGTGTAATTATTTTCTAGAAAAGCCATATTCCGTACTCCTATCAACAAAATTGTTCTATTTGTTAATTAATGCTTCCTCCACTGCTTTTAATATAAAATATTTCAAATTTGACTTAGATTCCCAGAAAGTTTACCAGTAAAGTTGAAGGAAAGATGGGATATGAAGATTTTGTTTACTTCATATTGTCAGAAGAGGATAAGTCATCTGAGCCCAGTCTTGAGTATTGGTATGTCTATTGCTTGATTTATGAACATTAAGACATTTTGCCATTGTCCAGCCTTATGGACTGTGCTACCTTTGAATTTTCTTCCTACTGTGATCTAATTGAACCCTCGCTAACCATAGAAGAAACTTATGCTTCAATTCTAAATTTAATGTATGAGGGAGAATGAATTGACACTTGTTTTGAGAATTTTTAATTGCTAATGTACTGGTCTTCAAAGTGGAGAAAATGGTAACGACTAGCTCTTACAGTGTTGAGCTTTAGGATCTGGAAATTATTTTAACCTGATTCACTTTCAAGCCTGAACATTGTGCTAGATACTCGCGGGGGATTGATAAATTGAGGAAGTAAAATCTTGTTTTGGTTTTTATTTGGAGAATATGACTGATTTTCTCCCAGAGTTTCCAATTGGGGATGGGAAAAAGTATGAATGATTTATATGGCTAGACATTTTATTATAGTTTCTGTTTGATTTCTTGGAATTATGGTAAAAAAAAATATTTTTTTTTTTGATAAGTAATCAAAGAATTTATTAATAAATCAATAGATAATACATGGGAAATGTATTATCAGTTTAAACAATACATAAACGACATGAAATTAGGCAACCCTTCAATATGGTTATTAGCCACAGTATTAAACCAATTATACAAAGTCAGATGGAACAATTCTCTGAACTGCTCTGTAGTTCTTGTTTGGTCTTCAAAACAGCGGCTATTCCTTTCTCTCCATACGCACCATACTATGCATCCCAGAATAAGATCTCATACAATCCTGCTATCCTTATCACGAAATTTCCTCTTCCATGCCCGCACCACATCCTCAATTCGCCTTGGCATCACCCAATCCAAATGTTGGGAAACAAGAATGCTATTCCAAAGCCACCGACCACCATCACAATGAATGAACAGGTGATCAATTGTCTCCCCATCCTTCTTACACATATAACACCACTCGGTAACACAAAAACCCCGTCTTCGAATATTATCCACAGTTAACGCTTGCCCCCGCACAACTGTCCACAATAAAAAAGCCACCCGTGGAGGCAATTTACTTTGCCACACCATCTTTCATGGGAATGAGCTCTACACAGGTTCTACTAAAGATCTGAAATAAGAGCGAACTGAGAATATACCATTCTGTGCCAACATCCACCTGCTACAATTGCCTACTCCAACCTGAATGTGCGCTTCATGCAAATAGGTCAGAAACAACGCATAATCATCTAATTCTCAATCCTGTAAACCCCTCTCAAAAGCAGGATTCCAACTGTGACTTCCATTGTGAATGGTGAGTATATCATTCACCATAGCAAACGGCTCCAAGGCAATGCGATGCAAAGAAGGAAAGCGCACCTTAAGTGGTTGATCTCCACAACAACGATCATCCCAAAACCTAATATTATTGTCATTTCCCACCTCATTGCTCAAATTATTTCGAAAGTCACTCCATCCTCGTCGGATATACCTCCACAAACTCACCCCATAAGAACCACGACCGTCAACCGAGCACCAACCCCCCTCCATCACACCATACTTCGCTCCAATGATCTCTCTCCAAAAACTCGCCCTCTCCACTCCAAATCGCCACAGCCACTTGCCCAACAGGGCCTTATTAAATAGAGACAGACTCCTTAATCCAAGCCCCCCACCCTTACAGGAGAACATACCACACTCCACTTGACCAAATGGAGTTTCCTCTCTTCTTCCATCCCTGCCCAAAGAAACTCCCTTTGAATCCTCTCTAATCTACGTACCACTGTGACAGGAATAGGAAACAACGACAAAAAATAAGTAAGGAGGTTGGAGAGAGTGGATTTGATGAGAGTAAGGCGACTACCCTTTGAAAGGTACATACGCTTTCACCCTGTTAACCTCTTCTCCATCCTTTCAACGATCTCATTCCAAATATGCTTACTTTTAAACCTTGTCCCCTAAAGGGAGCCCAAGATATGAAATAGGCATATGTGCAACCCTACGTCCCAAAATACCGGCCAACTCATCCACTTTAGCAACCTCTCCCACTGGGATCGCCTCAGATTTCCCCAGATTAATCTTCAAGCCTGACACCGCTTCAAAGCATAGAAGTAACCGACGCAAATTCCTCAATTGCTCATTATTAGCATCGCATAAAATCAGTGTATCATCCGCAAATAGCAAATGTGAGATCTGTGCATATCCAACCGTAAAGCCCCTTATCAGACCTTCATCCACAGCTTTCTCAAGCATCCTACTGAATGCCTCCATAACAATAACAAACAACAATGGAGATAGGGGATCTCCTTGTCTCAATCCACTGCTGCTTCGAAAATAGCCATCTGGAGTGCCATTAACCATAACTGAGAAAGAAATAGTTGAGATGCAAAACTGAATTCACTTACACCACTTTTCCCCAAATCCACATCGTCGGAGCATATACAAAAGGAACTCCCAATTTACATGATCGTAGGCCTTCTGAATATCGAGCTTGCATAGCATCCCTGGCACTCCCAAGCGCAATCTTGAGTCAACGCATTCATTTGCAATAAGCACAGAATCCAAAATCTGCTTTCCTTTCACAAAGGCATTCTGGGACTTAGAGACCACTTTCCCCAGCAACTCCTTCAATCGATTCGCCAATAACTTCGCAATAATCTTATACACCCCACTCACAAGGCTAATAGGGCGAAAATCCTTAATGTCCAGCGCCCCAAGTTTCTTAGGAATCAGCACAATAAATGTAGCATTAGAGCTTCTCAGGAACCTGCCATACTCATAAAAATATTTGAGAACATCCGTAATATCCGCTCGCACCACCTCCCAACAAACCTTATAAAATGCGAACGAGAAGCCGTCTGGTCCTGGTACCTTATCATCATTCATGCTAAAAACCACCTCCCTGATTTCCTCTTCCCCGAACGGTCTCTATAACCATCTAGCATTTTCCTCTGTGATAGTAGAAAAGTCCAGCCCCTCCAACTCTGGCCTCCACTCAAACTGTTCCCGATAGAGATTTTGATAGAAACTCACCATTCTGTTACCAATAACCTGTGGGTCCTCATAAGTAATCCCATCCACCTCCAGCAACATGATAGAGTTATTGCGCCTATTTGAATTCGCAATCCTATAGAAGAACTTGGTGCATTTGTCCCCCTCTTTCAACCATGTAATCCTAGATTTTTGACGCCACGCAATCTCCTCCATCTCCACCAACCTCTCCAACTCTCCCCTTAATACTCCACGTCTCTCCCTCTCCTCCCCAACCAACCCACGACTCTCCTCCCGCTTATCTAACTCCTCTAAGTCTGAAAGATACAGACTTTTACGCCAATTGACATCGCCTACCACCTCCTCATTCCACCGTTAAAAAAATATGAATGTTCATCATTGCAGCCAGATCATAGGGAATTTGGAGCACACTGTTTCGGAACCTATCTAACTGCAACTGTTTCTCTTTATACCTTTTTAAGTTAACTTGTGCACCCGCTGTGTGAAGTATAATCATCTGAATTTCAATGCTCTCCATCCTTGATGATTTAATCTATTTTCATCAAATTTTATTTGTTTGCTCAGTCTTTTATGTATGGCAAGTTGAATATTTTTATCAGGTTCAAGTGCATAGATTTGGATGGAAACGGAATTATTACAAGGAATGAGATGCAGTTCTTTTATGAGGAGCAGTTACATAGAATGGAATGCATGGCCCAAGAGCCTGTGCTTTTTGAGGATATTTTGTGCCAGATAGTTGACATGATTAGTCCAAAGGTGAACATCTTTAGATTGCATCTTTCTCACTTTAATAATTTGAATTTCATCCATTGTTTTTTATGTTATTTGTGCTTTAGGTGTATTAAGTTGAAGTTGTAAGGAGCAGATCCTTGGGTAAATAATGTGTGAGTGGGAGCTTGAGAGCATCAAAATTAAAAATTTGAAGCAGGAGTCCTATCCAAAATTTATTAAAATAATAAAACCAAAATACAAATCTAATTGCCCTAAATGGGAATTAAATAAGAGAGACTTTAAATGCTTTATCTTGTATGGGAAGTAAAACTTCCCCATTTATTTCATTTCTTCACATGTTGCACTCTCTTACTTCTGGAGGTCAGGTATATGCCCCTCTCCTTTTGATTCATGTGAGTTCGATATATTACATGGTTGAGGAATCCTAACCCCTATCAGCCTTTCTTGGTGGAGCCTGGAAACCACCGAGGCTATGTTGGTGTTTTGATAAAAAAATAATATTTGAAAAGGGAAATTAAATGGGTTGAGTCCACACTTCATCTTATTCACCTATCCCTTATATCTATCCCCGTTTACCTTTATCCATTAATGCAAACAACTGATTTCTCCGAAACAATAGTCTCCCTCACTGAATGGTCTTCTGTCAACCAATTAAAAGATTTTCTTTTTTTTTTGCCAGGCCCTATCTGCCTTCTTCGCACTGCCAAGGATTGTGGCTTACTATTGTTTAATGATTAGCTCATACTATTAATCATTGACACAGCTTGGAGCAGTATCTTAAACTATTATTAAGAAATTTGTTTACTAGAGAGTAGAGACTATTAGAGCTTGCTCTTAACAATTGGTGCATGCTTGGAACATCACTCCCATGTTCAGTATCCCAAATTTTGTCTCAAGACCAGAGTACGATCTTGCCCGAGTTGTGGCATAGAATAAATCAAGAAACCAACGCAACTTCTTTATATTAATTTTTAATTGTTTGGAAAAATGTTTTGCCCCATATCATCATTCTTAATACTTTTCTGACAATGCATTTATATTGCCAGATGAGACTGTAATATCCAGATTACCTCTGCTTCGATGTATAAAATGCAACTTTATTTAAAAAATTTAATTTGCATTTAGGCAATGCGATGGCATGTAGATGCCTCATCATATTTATCCAGGAAAGTTGTGCTTTTAGAAGAAAACCGAAATGAAGTAGACTGGTAGGATGTAATTTGCTGGCACTGTCTGATTTGGATCTCTTGACAAACTTGAAAGCCAGTTATGCAAATTCTTGAGTACTGGTTTGGAGTGCTGATTCATTTAGCATCTAGTGAGCTATTATGGCTGAACAAGTTGCTCCAGTAATATGGATTGTCTTCCATTCAAGTTGACGACTGCCAGGTTATGACTTTGAAATTCTTCCATTTTTCAGGATGAGAGCTATTTTACGCTGCGGGACTTAAAGGGCTGTAAACTCTCAGGCAGTGTTTTTAATATCCTTTTTAACCTCAATAAGTTCATGGCTTTTGAAACTCGTGATCCATTTCTGATCCGTCAGGTAATTGATGAGAGTTTATTTATTTGTTTCTGATATTTGAGGATGATGTGTTTTGAGATATGCTTAGCCAGGGTTTGCAAGACTTGCCTTTTTTCTTGAACAGGAGCGCGAGAACCCAAATTTGACCGAATGGGACCGCTTTGCACACAGAGAATATATTAGGCTGTCGATGGAGGAAGATGCAGAAGATGCCTCTAATGGAAGTGTAGATGTCTGGGATGAATCACTTGAGGCTCCCTTTTAAATTCGGTTTGGTGAGATTTTAAATGCCTTTCAAGTCAAAATTATTTTATAGTTTACAGTTTATTCAAATAAAATAATGCATAACCACATCTGTACTTAAATTGGTAATTATGAACCATCACTTACCAATCCTCCACCTTAGAAGTTATCTTGGTAAATACATCCAAAGTTTGTTGATGATGGTAGTGGCTATTTAGTTAGTTCCAAAATTTTGGCTGCATTTTGGCTCCATGGATCTAGACATAGGTGACTGTAAGGTTTACCAATGCCCGTTCTATCTTTAGACAGGGCATGACAGAAATTCTTAGTAGAGAAGCTTTTAAAAAGAAAAAATATCTTTGTGGAGTAAGTAGAATAATGTTGAGATGAAAATTTTTTGTCTGATTTTCTGTTGAGTCCATTTAGTTTATTTTTTGGACATAAACACAGAAATCTGCAGTTTTGTTTCTTCAGTTATACAGAACCATGTTATGTTACCATTGAACCGAACAGTTTAAACGAATGAATTTTTCATGACAATGGGTACTAAAAGCCTTGTGTTTCATGTTAACTCCAACCTTAGATGTAGTTCAGATGCCTGGATGAGAATTAGAAGTTATATTAAAACATTTTAATTGGTTAATATCTGTCTAGCTTACTGCTCAAATATTTCTGCTCTTGGAGACGTCAAATTCACTGATTGTTAATATTTTTTTTTTCAGGTGTTTATAATGAATTCTTTGTTTCAAGCTGGCTATCAAGCAGAAAACCAATAGTTTCGCGGGACGATAAGACATCAAAAATGGATCGGCAGCATGCTCCGACGCCACCAATGACATGTTGGAAGCCTGTTTATGGAATTTTGAGCGTATCTGCACATAGCATAATCTTGCCGAGCTAAAGGACAGTCAACTCTATTTCGTGGGAATTAGGAATAGATCGTTAAAAGATTTGGCAAGAGCCGGCCAATTGTTGACTGGTAATCAACTTGAGAAATTTACTACGCTAAAATTCTGATGTCTAGTTCTAAGAAAAGATTATTATTAATTATTTATTTTAGAATATACCTAGTGTTTTTCCTAGCACATTATTCTTGATGGGAGTTTAGCATGTTTGAAGTGGGGTCCTATGTTTTTTTCTTGTTTACTTTTCTTTAAATCTTTTAGGCTATGTTTGATAGGTTTTGTTTGTCGTGGAAAACTAATTCTACCCCCCACCACCACACGTGCACCAATTGATTTTTTTTGTTTTTTTGGCAATAGACATGAATTTTATCACCAATTGCAAAAAAATTATTTTTCCCTTTAATAGACAATTTTCATAAAAAAACAGTCAAACAAACACCAAAAGATCCAAAATTTAAATATTTTTCATGTACCAATCAAACACAATTAATTGACAATTTTCAGAAAAACAATTCTATGTAATTCGATTTTCTGGAGTTCATTTTCTTTCCACCTAAATTTCACTCTTACAATCAAACGGATCCTTAGATTCTGTTCGTGTTCAATTTGTGTCATAATGGAGTTTCTGTAATATTATTGGTTTTCCCTTTTTTTAAAAAAAATAATCTTATAACAATTTGCAGTTGTTTTCTAAACCTTGTGTCAAACAAAGTTGGTCGTACAGATAAATTGAAAGTAGCAGCTTTTGTGTGAATGTTAAGACTGATGGAATTTACTGAGTAAACTGTTTTAAGTAAAACGAATTACGATTTATGAACGACTCAATATTTAGCCCTTGTTTGGGCTTCATTAAAATTAAATTTTGGGCTGAAATGTGTGTTGGAATAACGATTTTTAGAGAATGTGGTTAAAAAATAAGATAAAGTTTTGGGTTTACGTGTAATATTATTTTAAGAAAGAATGTGATTAGAAATGAGTTCTGAAAAGACAACTGTATTTTTAGAAAAAATGGAGCTCAAACATGGGCTTAATATTTACGCTGAATACATTACACGAGGGGAAAAATTCACAAATTAGGTTTTATCTATCCCAAAATCAAAAATCAGGCCACAAAGTTTAGAATTGCAAAAATCAGATTTTTCATGAATTAATTCATTATATTAAATTAAATATTTAATTGTAATATAATATAATTAACCCACCCCACCTCACCTCACCTCATCTCACCTCACCATATGCTCTGGCGACCGACGACCACTCTGGTGACTATTCTTCTGTTACAGATCAAAAATTTTGTAGGTCACAGATTATTTCGAGTCACGGATCTAAAATTTTGTAGGTCACCGAATATTTTATTGGTCACAGATCAAAAAAATTATATGTCACATGTCCCGAATTTTCATATTTGTTAGTCACAGATTCCTATTTTAGTTACAGATTATCAATTTCAAAGTCACATAGAACCATATAGTTGGTCACATACACCCAAACACACCATTCCCCGATCCAAACCCACCACCAACATTGGTCACGTATCGACCAACTAGTTGGTTACAGACATTCTTCGTCGCATCCGTGCCACCGCCACAACCATCCACCAATAATAACACCATCAACAACCACCACCCAAACCACCGCTAATTAGCCCAAACCACCACCAACAGATCCGCTAACACACAGATCCTCCACCAACAACAGAATTGTCAACAACAGCCACACACAGAGATCTGCCCCACACCCAGGGCAAGAAGGAGGATCCCCCGCCGATCCAACAAAAAATTCGAGGACACAAAGGAGTCAGTTTAACAATCAAGGTCTGCAACAAACCCACCTGAATCTCATAGCAGCGTCGACGCTGCTACGCTGCTGTTATTCACAACAGCGTTCGACGCTATTGTGAATCGCACAGCAGCGTCGAATCGCACAGCAGCGTTCGACTGCTGTGCTATTCATGGCAGCGATTCTCGCAGTGTCGACATTGCTGTGAACCGACAGGGGCGCTCCGACAGGAAAGGAGAGAGAGAAATGGAGAAGGTAGGGAGGGAGAGAGAGAAACGATGTGAGGGGGGTGATGGATGAATTGATAAATTAGGGTTTTAAAGGATTAATTATTTAATTAAAATGATATAAAAACCTTTTTTTTTTTAAAGATAAAAAACCCGATAAATGAAAAAAAAAAACATTAAAACCTGATTTTTTAAAAGGTGAAAGAAAAGGCCTGGTTTCATATAATTACCACTTACACGAGTCACCTAAATGCGAGCTCAAGCGATGCACGGTCCACTACCAAAATTGGGAGGATTCATAAATCTCAAGGAACCTTTTTTGGAACTTTATTTCCGTATGTATATAGATTCAAATGGGGCAAAATTGAGTTGTTTAAAGCTGATATACATTAGCTTAAGTATAAGGTCTGGTCATCCTACTTATGGAAAATAATTGAAATCATTATTAACTGAGATTAATACATTAATAAATAATACAAAATTTTAATTCAACAGTGGCCCAGAATTATACTTTGGGAGTACTAAAATTTTTTCCCCTACTTAGTGTTGTTTCAGTTTGGTCCTTAACTATTTTCATTTCCAATTTGTTACTGAACTTTTTTAAGTTTTTTTTTTTCAGTTAAGTGGTTTATTTAGTCCATTTAAACCATTAAATGAAAAGTTGATACGTCATGTTAATTCTGTCAACAAAATCCTAATCTCATCCACATAGGCTAACATAACATGTTCAAGGATTTATTACCGTCGTCTACTTACACGGGATTGTGACTTCTATTCTTCAAAATTACATACTTGAAAAGTCTAAAAACCCTTCCCATGAGATGAAATTCTTCACAAGAAACCGTGAAGGAACTGTTAGTTCTATAAACAATTTCATTCAAAAGAAAAACTGAACATCGACTCATTATTATTCTTCCAACAAAAGGACATTGATTTCCAATTTTCCACATCAACAACAATACTCAAACTGAAAAAGACAATCATGTCCTGATATACCAGTGAAGTCCTCCAAAACATTCAGACTTTCCCAATGCTGTACAGGAGAGAGTAACAGAAGAGAGTATAAAAGAGTGAAGGAGAGGAAGATAGAGAAACATGGGACAGAGATAAGCAGAGAAATTTGAGAGGAGGCAGAACTCAAAACTGATCGAAATTTTGATTTAACATTCAAGTTACTCTATACAAACTGAAGCCCTATAGGGTAAAGAACTTAAATCCAAGGAAGAACAGAAGCCAAACATTAAAAGACTAGTTTCACCTCATCCTTTGCATTCTGATGTTGCAGCCTCTAATCTTTTGCAATTGTTAATCTTTAACAACCACTAATCCTTGGTATCCTTATTCAACTGTCGTGCATGATCGGGATTTTGAGCAGCAGCAGGATTTTTATGTTTCTTGTGTTTTGCTCTCTTTGCTTTCATCCTCCGTTTTTTCTCATTTGCATCTACCCATGCATAGTCAGACGGTATGTCAAAAGGGTCAATATCATCTCCGAAGCTTCGACTTTCACTTAATTGTTCCCCACTACTTCCCTTCATCCATGAAATCCATGATGTGGAACCTTCGATGTCCTTAGATTTGGCATCTTGGAAATGCACGGGACTGGAGAGTGGGGTCGAAAACTCCTCCATTGGCTGAAGCTCCTTAAACTTTGTAAATGTCACTAGGACCCGAATGGTTGGGACAATTGGGATGGCAATCTGTGAAGTACATATTTATCAGTCACAATAGTACCCAAGGATCCAAGATAGCAATAAGTGCTTTGAGCAGGCTATGTCAATATTTTGAAATGCATTAGAAAAAGAGGTGATTATTTTGAATTGTATGGCATCAATTTATAGAACAAAAGGATAAAATTCATGCTCAAAATAACGTATGATGTACATTACCAGCAACTGAACCTATTGGCAGTTTTAACCGATATAATGCCAAATCACATTTGAAATGCTAAATAATCTAACTAGGATAATCAAAAAGATGAACCTTCACTAATCACTATGTTTTCATACATGTCCATAGTAAGGAGCGAATAAATGGAGATAAAAGAACTCTTGGAAGATTAGGACATTGGCATAAACTGTAATGATTACTAACAAATTATGAATGATGTGGAGAAAAACAACAGCAAAATCAAAATTTAATTCTCAAGAAATTCTCAACATAGACAAAAGGAAAGAACAGTTAAATCTATGTGCAATCCACGTTTTTCTTGTGACCGGGCAAGACCTATTACTGAATCAGTCTACACCTCCTGTAGTGGTAATGATTTGATTCAAGCCTTCAGTGCATGAAGCAACTTTGACTTTGAACAATAAACCTTTGCTTGCTTAATTGGTGATTTAAATAACGAGAGATATTGTACATATTCTGATAAAGGTTATGTACAGAAGAGGCCTGACGACAGCAGCGAAGATCAGTTAGGAATATATATCTTGTTGCAAACAATAATATGTAGGAGTTTTATTTACTATAATATGGCAATAACAAATTGATCTATGAGCCAACAAAAATCAAGGAACGCAGGAAGATATGAAAAGTAAGAGTAACTTTAGTATATGTAAGAGCCTTGTATTTATCATGATTGAATCCACCTTTACACATGTATAGACAAAGATAAAACAATATCTGTTAGGCTGGTTACTGTTGCTCAAATAAGTTTTGATGTTGTCTTAAAGCTTGGTCGGCCACATGCAATTAGGATTTTGCTACAATCAATCAAATTTCATTGAAATAAAAATACAAAGAGCAAAATCCCTCAAGAGTAGGCATACCACTTAGACATATATACAATCAAGTTTCAATCACAGTGAAAAATTACATCCTAAACCAATACAAGTAGGTCTGGACTGTTAACACCAAAAGAAGAGGGAATTTTTTGGTGCTCTTCAACTTCCATAAGAATATTCAACATCCTAGAAAGCTCTTCCATTACATCCTGTCGTCAAAAAAACACTAGGGAGAAAGCTCCCAAACATGTTTCTTTACCAAAGAGCGGTAATAATTTTTCCTACTCCGCAAAAAAAACCTGAACTGAGGCTGGCATTATCAGCAATTGAAACCCGCAAGTACATCAAAGGAAGATCTACAAGGCTGAGCTACATCACAGTGCAGCAGAAATTATTTACATCCTCGATTGCCCTTTTACACATGAAATGCCAACTGATAGACTCTACTCAGACTACCTCCCTCAAAATTGAACCCTAGCTGGCTATCCAAAGAAAGAAAGCAACATTTTTTGGCGGCCTGAGTCACCAAATTTTATCCCCAGGGGAAATTGGGGTATCATTCTTCAAGTAGATACAAAGACTTGGTTGAAACTTCCCATCAGCCACACCCTTCTAGATCACTCAACCAGCACCAATCCTCCTAAATCAAGCACATATTACTTAGCAAGAAAATCCAACTGCTGAACTTTCCATTATGGAATGGCTCTCCTTAACAACGAGGTAGCTACTTAATTCGAAAGTTAAACAACTTCTGAAACACACAAGCCCTTAGTTACTGAATTCTAAACAGCAGTTAATATCTTCCTTTGTAGCACCAATGCCATGCCAGACATCACCAAAAACTCTACCCTGTTCCCAGTATAACTGCTTCCTTTTTAGCTTGTGAAACACAGATTGCACTAGGATCGTTAACTTGTGTTCGAGCTAAGTATGTTCCTAAAGGATAAAGGAGGAATATCCCAAAGAATAGGAAAGTATCATGGTTAGTCGAAAATCGCATTAAGTTATACAGCGCCGACTTAAAAATGTCAAACCAAGTTTTACTCAATGTTGTCTCAACTAGGTAGGTAGGTATGATGTTCAGATCCGGATATTTGGATACTAAATTCATAAATTAAGTAAACTAATTTTAAGATACTCCTATCTATAATTGTGCTACATGAACTTGATACTAAGAAAAAAATAAATAAGGACATTTTTTATTTTTACGTTATGAAGAAAAATGATATCAAAGACTGCATATATTACTTTCAGTGAAAATATCTGTTTTTTGCTTCTAGGAAAATGTGTACTTAGTACTTGTGGATGGTTACTGTATATGACATATTGCTCTCTTGCTCAAGAACATGGGAAGAACTCTGTGCACGGAAAAAAAATTCAGAGTAACTGAATTAATTTCATGAGATGATGAACACCTAACAATCGTAGGAAATTATAAGCACGCGCCAAACTGAAAATATTACAAGAACAGCACATTAGAAGCAACAAAGATTGGAGACAATGCGGGTAGGAAAGAAAATATATAAGAAAAACAGAAAAAAGGTACTACTGACAATGAACCGACCAAATAAAATAAAGGAACGTCATCAAGTGCAATAAGGGACATGACCGATAAGTACCTTGACCGGAAAGGTGCCAGGAGGAAATTTAGTAGTCAAAACCTCTCTTAGTCTCCGAACAGCTTTCACCTTGTTAGCCAGTATGTCAAGTAAAGGCAAGAGTTCCTCTGTTTTCAAAGGAAAATCTGGTGTCAACCACATAACTGGTCTTAGACCTTTCTTATACTCGCTCTCATTCTTTGACCCACTAGGGGCCCCTTTCTTCTTGCTGCTTTTGTCATTGGATTTTTTAAAGTTCCCAATATCCTCCCTGAGAAACTCAGACGATGATAGGCCATTTTCGTTGAGTCTCTGCTTTCTATCATCTGGTGCCAACTTGAAGAATTTTTTCCTAATCTTTAAATCATCAGGAACATCTCCTGTATTCTTCAAACCTTTCTTGCTCCAACCGAGCCAACTTTTCTCCTCTTTCTTAACAACATTTGACTTACAAGATTCAAATGAATCCCCATTATAATTTTCGTGGCTATCCTGAAACTCAGGTTCCTCATCATCCTCAAGACCGTCAGAGTTCTTCATGCGAAGAGCAGAATCTAGCTGCATTCTTTCCTCAGCGGTTAAAACATCACTGTACTCATCATGTCTAACAACATTTGCTATTCTATCATCATCATTCACCGCAAAAAGCTCCTCATCAGTCATAGCACCAGGAACTCGCCTTGACTTCACGCTCAATGACACGTGAAGCATATCATAAACCTTGGCCTTCCAAGCTCCAACCGACTCAGTCCTCTCCTGTCGTCTCCAATTCAAATGTGGAGCAAGCTCAGCTTGAGTAACATCAATTCCCGGTCTGTACATATTAGTTTGAGACATGTAAGCCACTTCACGGGCAACTGCAGCTTCTGATGGTTGAACTCCAGCTCCCTCCAAAGCATTTGTGATTTCTTTCTTCTTATGGGAGAGAACTATCAAAGAACCAGGAGGCAAAGATCTATTTCCACCTTCACAAAAACAGCCCTCTCCAAGGAAGAGAAAAGTTTGATCAGACCGTTGGATTCGGAATCCATCAAACCCAGCAAGAGTCATATCTGCACGGAGATTAGAACTGCGTTTCCATATCCTGTAAGTGTCTGACGGAGCAATCCTACCAATAAATGGTATCACCGAGCTCTCAAAATGGAAGGTTATCTCCATGTAAAAGTCACGAATCCGAGCTGCAGACGCCACAATCCTAGGAAGTCTACGGCACCATTTGGCCCAGGCAAGAGGATGGTAGTGTCTTGCAATTATCATAGCAATATTCTCCTCCCTATTACACACTGCTTCCTGAAGTGCACTCCATCCATTTTCATTCTGAAGACTCCAATCAGCACCTGCTGACATTAAAATCTCTGCAGAAGTTGCATCATTAAGCCTCACTGCAAGGTGCAAAGGAGTTTCCCTGCCCGGCACATCCCGCCTATCAATTACTGCACATACAGCATCAGCATCCTCCTCAGCAGCCAACGACTCGGTCTCTGTATTCACCTCTCCTGCCTTGGCCAGTCGAGGAAGGGAAGCAACAATCCCTTTCAGAACAGCATGGTCATGCTGCACGACTGCCAAATGTGCAGGACTGTGTGCATATTTTGACACATCTTCCATGGCCTTTCTTCTTTCCTCCACTCTCTAGACCTTTTTTCCTTTAATCAATTCAAATAAATTTCAATTTCTCCCACCCTCCTGAAATGCAGCTCTAAAAGATCTTGATATTATCATTCAGATCCTTTTAGCCTTTAACTACAAAATTCAGAATTTTCACTAAAATTATTATTTGACATTGCAAGTTTCAAACTCACATTGATCAATGCACAAGACCCCATCAAATATTGATGCAAATTCCGAAAGCTGCAATTCAAGAAACAAAACAGAAACGGCCAAAACATAAAAAAACAGGAAATTAGCATAACACGTCATCTGGCCCACTTCTGCTTACACATCAATTAAATTTGAGGGAAAAAGAAACAGAATCTAAAAAACACACAATCAAGTATGTTGCTGGCGCGTACCAATCGCTTAAAAAAAACACGATATATGAAAGGTGATCTAGTTTCGATCAGAAACTTGAATACGATGTTCTCAGTTTGCGCTACTCTCTTTCCCTTTCTATTTCCCTCTCCCCTCCCTCTCTCTCTATATACACACACACACACACAATGTGTGTATTGTTGTGGTGAGATTTGAGAGGGGGCCGTGTTTCAGGCTCGCTGTTGGTTTGTTAGTTTGGTTGCCAGCCGCTCGCCTGGAGAGGGATTTAGACGTTTGCCCATCTTTTGGAGATATATTACGAATCTACCATCTACATGGCCAAAAATATTTCCTCTATTTTTCAATTTACCTTTCTTTTTCTTTGTAAGATGTTTTAAAAAAAGAGTTGAATGTAATTTTTCGGCAGTAGAAATGAACTTACCGAAAGAGTAATATTATTCCATATTACAGTTTTCCTGACAACTTTGTGGACACAAATTTTTGCTATTGATTTATCCATTGATTTTAATAACACTTAAACAATCAATGGTCTTAATTTTGACACTTCACGCAATATCAAGAAAGATTTACATTTTTTGTGTACAAATAGTTTAACCCATATTATTCAACCATTTTATCCGAGAACTTCTAATTCCTTTTTGTTTTTCCAATTTTCAAGACAAATAGCAAGTTCAGTTAAATTTTAAAGTTCCTTATTTGAAAAGAAAGATTTGCGTACATTTGATTTCTGTTTATAAACATTCACATCACTTTTTATTCACACATTTTCGAAAAGAAAAAAAATTATTACAAAAAATAAAAAGTGTATATTACATTGTAGAAGGCTTATTTTGTTTTCTTTCAAAATACATTTATCTCTCTTCTTTTTAATCACACGTCCTTCAATAAAATAATATTACACACAAATTCAAAAAATTTCCTTATCTTTTAACAACACATTCTTCATCAATCTTCTATTCCAAAATACATTATTAACCAAAAATGGGGCTCAAACAGGCGTCTAATTAATTTCTGTAAGATAATGGTGGTGCCACAGCCATCCACGACACAATGTCATTTGGTGAGGTGGGTATGACAAGCAGTTAGCCATCGTAGTTTATTTGATCATGCTACAAGTACACTAACTTTGACATTGTACCACGTGGCGACATCACATTAGACAATTTTTAAAAACGACACACTTTCCCGCCGAACACAATTGAATTTACACATGGTGTCAAACTTGATGTCAAAAAAACAATGTATCTAGTTTATTTTATCTCAGAAAGAAGTTACCATGTAACCCACTACCAATCTGCACATCAAGATTTGATATTGAAATAAGATAACCAAGTAAAATTCATTGACGTATAAATCAATGTCAACGTCTCATAGGGAGACTGAGTTTGCACAGTGGAAAGACTTCTATTTTTCTTCATCTTCATTGTGTTTAATGTAAGCCAAACATCAGCAGCTTTGCACACGAGGGAACCATAAGAAGCCGTGCCCACGGAGAAAAACCAAGGCCTCAGCGATGAAATCCTTCTGATCGTCAGGGATGAGAGCGAGCAAGCTTACAAAGAAAATGTCGGCTAAAATAAACATTCAATTAATTCCGAGCAATTCAGAAAGGAAAATGCTATTTGTACAACCGAGGTTGTGACAACCTCAGTTAACAACCACTCACATGGAAGGGAGTCCACCTCTATTTAAAAATGTTAAATAAATGGAAAAGTCTACACGTACATAATATATGTGCATAATAGTGTCCATAATGTGATGTGGACAAAATCCTGTTGTTGATATGAAAGTATGAGATTTGAATTAATGGTTGGATCAAGTGTCACATGTAATCATGGATACCATTATGTATAGATTTATGTACATGTAGCACTTCTCTAAATAAATCGAGGTGGACCCCCCATGTGAGTGGTTGTCAACCTTGATTGTACAACTAGCATGGTCCATTCAAAAATGGGGAAAAAACAGAACATGAGAAGCAAAATTGTACAAATCTAGATATGCTATTCAGCAGGCACCTATTAAGAAATAGAAACTAGGAAAAGAAATCATTACCCTTCACCTGCAATCTGTAATCAGCAAGAATATCATCTGGTCATAGAATGATAACAAAATAATTTCATGAATCAATAATATTTAGCAATCTAGAATAGTTTCTCCAAGAGAGATAAGATAATCCGATCACTTTTGGTACAAATTGCAAAATATGATAAATCCGCATACAAAGGTTTCACATACCATAACGAGCAACGATAGTCCGAAGATCAAATAAAACACTCGACAAATTGTACCACTGGTTCAGATGATATTGAATTCAGACATAGTTGGTTAATCTTAAGCTATTCACTGCCCCTCGGAGAACCATGATTTTCATCATCATCGACAGGGCTTCCGCTGTCCCTAGGGCTAAAGCTGCGATTGCGACCATTTTCTTGAATGGGACTCCTCTCCTCAACATCATCCTCGGGGCTCCTGTTTCTTCCATTTGGACTCCTGCTATAGTCTGATCCATTGGCAGCCTTACCATCTCTTGGCGATGGCGTACCCCTCTTTCTCGGGCTTTGCTCAGCTTTTGGGCTGTGGACCCTTCCCTTAGATGGAGATGGCGAGGTCCTGTGTCGCCTCCTTGACCCTCCCTCCCCACGTTCGATACTGCGATCCCTCTTTGGGTGTGGTGATCTGGATCGGCTGCAAAGAATTATGACAAACAGTGACGACAAACCATAAAATAAATATCTGTGCATGTTAAAACACTTTAAATGGGCAAATTTTGCACTATTTCTGCAAGGGCGGAACACGCTTATAAATGCATCCTTTTTAGCCTGGTAATACAAGCTCACTTGAAACTCACTCCACGCTTTGCTAAACATTTGCATTCCATCAGCACTATGAAGCACAGACAAGAACACATTGATTTTTTTTAAAAAATAAAATAAAACTATACAGCTATATATTATATCTTTATTTTTAATAGTTTAATTTTCAAAAAACTATCACTATTTTCTCATTGATTTTGAATTTTGGTTATAAAATCTTCTGAATTTGAGGAGCGGCATTTTGTTGTACGTTGTATTAATAGCCAACAATATATAAATATGAATGTAGCAAAAAGTGCACATTATAAATGTAAAACAATTCGACAAGGAGTTCATGTAATTTTTCTAACATTATCTTAGGCTTCTGACACAAATATTTTAACAATAAATAATTTCCATAATTTCGTACTCCAAAATTTAAATGAGATTTTCTCACATCAGTGATGTGTAAGGACACGTCTGTCACCAGTCACAGGTCAGCCCATTAACGAAACTCACTAAGGAGAAAGTCCCATAAGGAAAAGTTGAAGTGATAAAGAAATAACCCCCATAATTAAAAATATTAACATGTTAGACATGAAAATCAAACCACAAGATCAGTTCCAGATAAGCACATATGCTCAAATCACCACCACTACAAACTTCTAGCATTGTTGTTAGGACAAAATAATAAGATAACTCCTCAAAATAATAGCAAGTATGCAAATTACAGGTAGTGAAGTGGGGCTCAAGAGAATAACAGAATGTGGATATCAAAAGAATATCAGTATAAAAAAAATATGTAATGTGCAGAAGAGAGTGTAGTTGAACCTGCGACTAGGACTCCTGCTATAACCACGGCTCCGGCTCCGGCTCCGGCTCCGGCTTCTACCGCGACGAGGAGATGGTGAGCGGGAATAACTCCGTCCACGTCTGTTGCAAGAAACATTAACATACTGAAGAATAATAACTTTTTTCATATCCATACAAAATAAAAAACTAGTAAGGACCAAAAAGCCTAATTTACATACCTAGCTTTCTTGGGACTGTTTGGGCAGTTCTTTTCTACATGACCTCGCTCCCCACAGTGATAACATTTGTTCTTCCAGTCTCCGGCCTTGCAATCTCTAGCCCAGTGTCCCTCAATTCCACAGTTGAAGCAGCGTCCAGTTCCTGGAGTGGGGCCTCTTCCAAGATATTCCCGTGATCCACCTGGGCCACGTGGTACCTAAATTGCAAGTTAAACCTATTTAATGATAAATCATAAACCTACAACCATCAAGTCAAAAGACAGGTGCCAAAACAAATGATCATATAAAAAAGCAGAGGAAGAAGAAAACCATTTAATATCTTCATAATATTTCACAGGTTCATATAACAATGGATATGAAGTATGGAAAGCTAGAAGTTAACAAAAATTATACTACTGCATCTTAATATTTTCATTGATTTTGACGCAACCACGCAAACTGGTCTGGAATATAATGATCCCAGAAACAATTACTCCTGAAAACACTACTACTCCAAAAATATGTTAAAACTTAAAAGAACAAGTGATAAAATGCCTCCAAGATCTTTCCAGAACCCTGGCATCAACTCATTTAAACCCCATGATTCTGAAACAGTAAGCAGAGTTCTTCAGTTTTTAGAACATCAGATACTATGCCTAGTGACTGTGAAAACCCTGGCAATTCCTAGGAAGTATTTGAAAGGATTTTTAAGCATCATTTTCGAATTATAAAGGGCTTGATGACTGGTCAGCAAACTATATGAGAGTAACTTGCAATCAACTGCTTCACACATTTCTTAAATGAGGTTTTC